GCCCCCGCCGCCCGCCCGGGCCATGCGGCCTCGGGGAGATGAGGCTCCGCCACGGCACCTTCCTGTCGCTGCTGCTCTTCTGCCTGTGCGCCTTCCTCTCGCTGTCCTGGTACGCGGCGCTCGGCGGCCAGAAAGGTGAGCCCGGCCCCCGCCAGCCGGGGCGCCCGCGGAGGCCTCGTCCACCCCGCGGAGGGCGCCCCGGAGAGGCGGCTTCCGTCCTGCCGCCTGCGCTTCCTGCAGGCTCAGTCTGAGGCCCGCCGGCCTCTGCCTCTCTCCGCCAACTTTCCTGTCTCCAGCACCTCCTAGATGAGGCTGGAGGAGTCCTGGCCGAGCAGCCCAGCCTTCCCGGAGCGTCCGAGGCCCCACGCCCGCCAGGTTCCCGCCAGCCCGGCCCAGCCTCCTGCGTTGGTCCTGTTCGGGCGGAGGCCTGGACTGGCCTTGGCTGCGCCAACCAGGGACCCGAGGACAGACCCCGAGGGCCTGGCGCAGGGAGGACACGGCAGGGCAGAGCTCGGGAGGTGGGTGTCACGCTGGGGAGCGCACTTGGAGCCCTGGACAGGGAGGCTGCAGGCGCGGACTGGCACGGAGGCCTAGGCGGGGCCTTGTCTAGGTGGGGCGATGGTTCGTGCCCCTCAGACCAGCCCAGGCCGCAGTTCCCTGCAGCACAAGCCTCGGCCTGATGTCAGGAGCAGCCACACAGGGCCCCATCGAAGCAGACGCCTCCCGTGGGAGCCCAGCTGGCCACAGGGCCGGTCTCCATGCGGCTCCGCCCAGGGCTGCCTGGGCCTGAGGGGGCATCGGGGAACGAGGTTCGCAGAGGGCCTGGGTTTCTTGCCCCCGGAATGGGAGCCCAGGTACCTGTGGGCACCGAGAGGGCCACAACTTGGGCCTGCCCCGTGGGGGGCTTCAGGGTTCCTCGGAGGCCCGGAGAAGCCAGAGACGTGCGCCGTTAGGTGAAGCTTCTCGAGGAGCTTGCGTGCGGAGAACCTCGGGTTAGGCTGGTAGTGAGTGAAGCCGCGCTCTTCCGGGCTGAGGCCAGGTTGGGTCCCGGCTTCCAGCTGGCAGCGGATGTGGGGCTCAGCGGAGGACACGGCACTCAGAGGAAAAGCACAGAGACCGGAATCTCCACGGAAAGGAGGAGATGGGCGGGGAGCAGGACAGGAAGGGGATCCCGGGCGCAGGGGCATCCTGGAAGGACGAGGTCAGGTCCGGGCGGACCCGGGGAGGGCTTGGGGCCCAGCTGCCCATCTGGCCTCTGCTGTATTTGCGCAGCAACTCTTCGGGGCTCGGCCTGCAGCCCTCAGCCACCTCCCCAGCCCCCAGCCTGTCCCTCCCTGGACTCAGACCCTCCTGCACTTCTGGGAAGGAGCGGGCGGGACAGGAAGTGCACACCTGCCGGCGTCTTCACCCCTTACCCACTCTGGCCAGGCCTGTTTTCTCATCCCCACGGTAGCTCAGGGAACAAGAGCTGTGCCCCACTTTGACTCTGGAATCTGTTTTCTCGACAGAGAGCCAACCAAGGGAATGTTGTGGTTTGTGGCCTCAGGGTTTCCTGACTTTCTGCCTTTAGGGGAGAGCGAGGAAACCTCAGGCCCCATTGCTGCCGATAGTGTGGCTGCAGCTGCATTTCTTCCGTCAGATCCACCAGTCCCAGGGGCAGGAAGACGTGGATGGGAGGAGAAGGCAGAGTCCCCCCAGCTCCAGCCAGAAGGTGCCTCGGCTGCACCCTGGCTGCCCATCCCCAGAGAGAAGGTGGCGGACCCAGGACCGCCTGGCAGAGCCCGAGTAAGACAGCCCTCGGGGAGGCAGTCACGGAGCATGGGTTTCTGGCTTGGTGGACCCACAGTCCGAGAAGCCAGGAGTGAGGGGAAGCCTGGATCTCGTAGGCAGCAGCAGGCCAGGTAGGGCCAGAGCAGAGGTGGGACAAGGGATATGACCGAAGGGCTGGTGTGGGCAGGGCAGGACCCCCGCCTGTCGGTAAGACCTGGGGGAGAGCGGAGGTCCCTGGGGAAGAAAGGCCAGGGCAGGGAGCAAGTCGAGCCGAGGCCTGGGTGCCAGGGTGATGTAGGGCAACATGGCCCACCTGCCTGTCCGGCAGTGCTTACTCACAGAGCAGGGGTGGTCAGGACGGGGCTCTGCCCACCTTTCCCTTTCAGAGTGGTCACACTCGAGGCTGCCTTGGATGGAGCCAGTGGCACAGGGCTGTGCTCTCTGTCCACTGCACCTGGGCAGAGGGAAGCACCTGTCCTGTCTGGGCAGCTTTGGACCCCTCTGTCCACTCCGTGTCAGCAGCTGCCAAGAGGGAGGCTCCCTGGACCTGCCACCCAGCCCATGCTGGCTGGGTTGCGGGTCAGGGAGTATTGGGGTGACCAGCTCTTCCTCCTTTGCAGGATAACCTGGCCCCAGAGCCCAGCCGAGGGTAACCCAGAACTAACCCCTGACCCCCCAGCTCAGTGTGGCCTAGGGCTTCCCTGGTGAGGCAGCTATCAGAAGTTTAGGGCACAAGCTGCTCCCCTGGGAGGTGCTGGGGGGGGATCCCTGCGCTTCTCCTGTTCCCCAGCACCTCCTGCCTGGGGTCCTCACTCGGCTTCCAGTGTGTGAAGTGACCAAACTCTGCCCTGCTCCTGACCTCGGTGCCCAGCAGGGGTCAAGGGATGGAGAGCTGTGTGGGGTGGGCAGGGAGCTCTGGAAACTCCTGGACTCAAAGACTTGAAATGTGGCCTTGAAGGCTGCATCTCCTTTAATTAAGCCCAGAAGACAACGGGATTACAGGCAGAGGTGGCAAACTGTGTAGGGCACAGACATTGGGCAGGGGGAAAGGACTGTCTGCCTGGCAGACCACAGGGCAGGACCCAGGCTAACAGGCCTGAGGGCAAAGGAGCGCATGGGCACAGGAACTATTGTTTATCCTCCTGCTGCTGGGCTTGGCCAGGCCAGTGGAGCCAGGTGCCTGGCACCCCAGGGCGCCCTCCCCCACAGCTCGGCAGCCCCACCTGTGCGGCCCTCAGCTACCCCACCCTGATGCCAGGCTTAGCTCAGGCCCAGGTGTTCTGATGGCTGACTCCAGGCACTTCAAGATGGCCCAGGTTTAGCTGGGTGTGGTGGTGCACTTCTGAGGCTGAGGCAGGAGGATCACTGCAAGAGTTAAAGGCCAGGGCCAGGGATTTAGCTCAGGGGCAAAGTGCATGCCCGGCAAGCTCGAGGCCCTGAGTTTGATTCCCATACACAAAAAAGGCCCAAAACATCTCCAGAGATTCCCTTCGGGGGCTCGCTGCTCCCCCACACTGACGGGTTGAGCAACTTCTAGGATAGACTCTCAAGCTCTGCTCATCTGAGCTCTGAGAAAGGGGGTGGGAGAGGCGGGCCCTGCAGGAGCCACTGCAGGGGCCTGGTGACAATGACCAGTGGTGGCCGGCATCCGGGACACTGTCAGACTGCACCCGGCTCAGTGCTACTTGGAGCATGGGAGGAAGAGGCAGAGTGGGCGGAGCAGCCGCTGGAAGAGGGGTGGAGCTTTTGTGCCCTGGCTGGGACCACAGGGAGCCTGAGAAACACACGCTTTGGGAGCCAGTGAGGGTAGGGCTTGGGACTGCTCTGCGGAAGGACCGCGGCTGCCCCCAGGGACGCAGTAGCAGGGTGGGAGGAGAGTGCTGAGGGCTGAACCCCTGCCCGGTTCTTCCAACCACGCCTGGCTCAGGGTGGCTTCACAGTGACCCCACGGAGCCCAGACAGCCTGCCTTGGGCAGGCCCGCATGCAGACGCGGGGCTGCTCGCGGGCGCCCCCTGCTGACGGCGGCGTGCGGCCCGCAGGCGACGTGGCGGACGTTTACCAGCGGGAGTTCCTGGCGCTGCGCGACCGCCTGCACGCGGCGGAGCAGGAGAGCCTTAAGCGCTCCAAGGAGCTCAACCTGGTGCTGGACGAAATCAAGAGGGCCGTGTCCGAGAGGCAGGCGCTGCGGGACGGGGAAGGGAACCGCACCTGGGGCCGCCTGGCAGGTGAGCGGCGTGGGGGGCACAACCGCACCCCGGGCTGCCCTGCCCGCCTGATCCCCGCTTTCCCGCCCCAGAGGACCCGCGGCTGAAGCCCTGGAACGGGTCGCATCGGCACGTGCTGCACCTGCCCACTGTCTTCCACCACCTGCCGCACCTGCTGGCCAAGGAGAGCAGCCTGCAGCCGGCCGTCCGCGTGGGCCAGGGCCGCACCGGAGGTAGGGGGGGGGGGCGGGCGGCGAGGTGGCCCGGGGCCCGCGCCCAGCGTCTCCCTGCTCCCCCGCAGTGTCGGTGGTGATGGGCATCCCCAGTGTGCGGCGTGAGGTGCATTCCTACCTGACGGACACGCTGCACTCGCTCATCTCCGAGCTGAGCCCGCAGGAGAAGGAGGACTCGGTCATCGTGGTGCTGATCGCCGAGGCGAGTGGTGGGCATGAGGGCAGGGAGGGCACGGGGCGCCCCTCGCGCTGCTCAGCCAGGAGAAGGGAAGCCTGTGTTCTGGGGAGAGCTCTCCGAGGTGTCCTTCACAAACAGGAAGACAGAAAGTTGAGAAGAAAGGAGCCCTGGGCCGGTATGTAGCTCAGTGGCACTGTGCCAGCTTTGCAACACAAGGTCCTGAGTTCGATCCTCGGTACAGAGATATCCGGGTCCATTCACCCAAGTCAGGGCCTGGGCTGCAGGATCCCGAATGCTTGAGGGCCCGGGCTCCCTCGGCCCACAGGAGGGAGGCTCCCTCCCTCCACCTCCACACGTGGGGACCCCCCGGAGCCTGCAGCCCCTCCTGCCCCCTCCTTCCAGGCCATCTGGGGTGGCGGCAGGGCTAAGAGGGTACATGGTCTTCCCGCAGACTGACCCTCAGTACACATCGGCAGTGACAGAGAACATCAAGGCCTTGTGAGTTCCACCGAGAGAGCTGGAGGGGCTGCAGGCATTGTGGGGGACCTGCAGGCGCTTACCTTCTGCCTGCTGGCTCCTGGAGGGTGGGAGTGGAGCCACAGCCCGAGTGCCTGCCTAGTGCCGGGGGTTCCCTTACTAGGGTTCCCCTTTACCCTGGACTCTGCCACCCACTGGGCCTTTCTGCCCCTCTCCAGGTTCCCCACAGAGATCCGTTCCGGACTCCTGGAGGTCATCTCCCCTTCCCCCCACTTCTACCCTGATTTCACCCGCCTCAGAGAGTCCTTCGGGGACCCCAAGGAGAGAGTCAGGTACTTGCCCTCCCCCTGGCGCCCAGCAGTCCGCCACGTGTGCCGAGAAGCCAGCCTGTGGGTGCCTAGGCCCGGGATACCCGCCCACCTTTCTCTCGGAGGACACCTGCGTGGGGCAGGGAACAGGTCTGCCACTCAGCCACCTCCCTGCGCAGTCACAGTGGAGGGGTGGAGGCTGAGAGTCTCTGAGGCTCCTGCCCCCGCCACAGGTGGAGGACCAAGCAGAACCTTGATTACTGCTTCCTCATGATGTACGCGCAGTCCAAAGGCATCTACTACGTGCAGGTCAGCCCTGAGGCTCTGGCTTGCCCCCGCTCTGCCCCACGCTCTGGTCAGACCTGGCCAGGGACTGCCCCGCCCTGTGCCCATCCTCATCCTGACCCTCATGCAGCTGGAAGACGACATCGTAGCCAAGCCCAACTACCTGAGCACCATGAAGAACTTCGCCCTGCAGCAGCCCTCGGAGGACTGGATGATCCTGGAGTTCTCGCAGCTGGGCTTCATTGGTATGCCCCTCGTCCCAGCCTGTGACCCGGCCACAGCTTTCCCTGTCCACCCCAGGACCATACCATGGGGGGCTGCACGGTGCTCACCCCCAGGCTTGCTGGGGGGGTGCAGCCCTCCCACTCGGCGCCCTTCCCAACTCTTCGTCCAGGGAAGATGTTCAAGTCCCTGGACCTGAGCCTCATTGTGGAGTTCATCCTCATGTTCTACCGGGACAAGCCCATCGACTGGCTCCTGGACCACATTCTGTGGGTGAAGGTCTGCAACCCTGAGAAGGATGCGGTGAGTGGGGAATGCAGAGGGGCAGGGGAAGGTGGGCCAGCACGACCATGTCCTTCCTCTGTCTGACCGTGAGCAGAGGGCACTGCTGGCTGTGGGGAGCCCCTGATGTTCACCAGGTTCCCAGGAGTCCTAGCATGTGCCCCCCTTCACAGAAGCACTGTGACCGGCAGAAGGCCAACCTTCGGGTCCGCTTCAAGCCATCCCTCTTCCAGCACGTGGGCACCCACTCCTCCCTGGCCGGAAAGATCCAGAAACTGAAGGTGGGCTGCACCTCCTGCTTCCAGCCAGGTTTAGTCAGAGCCGGGTAGGGACAGGTAGGGCTTGGGGCTCATCGCACCTGACCTGACACCCAGGACAAGGACTTTGGGAAGCAAGCTCTGCGGAAGGAGCATGTGAACCCACCTGCCGAGGTGAGCACAAGCCTCAAGACTTACCAGCACTTCACCTTGGAGAAGGCCTACCTGCGTGAGGACTTTTTCTGGGCATTCACACCTGCCGCAGGGGACTTCATCCGCTTCCGTTTCTTCCAGCCACTGCGCCTTGAACGGTCAGTGCCTGGGCGCCAGGGCACCAGGGGGAGGGCCAGTGGGGCCCGGGCCTCTGGGCCTGCAGGTTCTCCTCTGACCCCAGCTTTCCTTATCTGGACAGTGGGGCTCACAGTGATACTGTCTTGTAAGCACTTCGTCCCACGGGCCCCTAGCGCTCCTGGTTCCCGTCACCCGTGCCCCAGGGAAAGGCCGCCCACGCCCATAGCCATCCCCTTGCACTCCCGGGCCCTCTGGTGCATTGGGGCGTGTTCCAGCCTGGCTGCAGCTCACCAGCCTCCATGGCCGTGTACAGGTTCTTCTTCCGAAGCGGGAACATCGAGCATCCGGAGGACAAGCTCTTCAACACATCGGTGGAGGTGCTGCCCTTCGATGTGAGTGCGGCAGGGTACGGGTGTGCAAGGGCCACAAGCTCTCAGGGCCACCCGCTGCAGCCTCTCGATTTTGCCCCCAGAACCCCCAGTCAGACAAGGAGGCCCTGCAGGAGGGCCGCCCAGCTGCCCTGCAGTACCCACGGAGTCCCGACGGCTACCTGCAGATAGGTGAGCGGGCACTGGGCTGGACAGGGCTGGGCTGCCTGGGCACTTGGCTTTGGCAGTGAACTCTCCTTGCTGCTGCCCTGCCCAGGTTCCTTCTATAAGGGCGTGGCGGAAGGGGAGGTCGACCCGGCCTTTGGCCCCCTGGAGGCCCTGCGCCTCTCCATCCAGACCGACTCCCCAGTGTGGGTCATTCTGAGCGAGGTGAGCTGGGTACGTGCAGGGGAGACTGGGCAAACCGCGGTGGGGCCCCCAGCCCGCTGAGCCCCAGCCCGGCTCTCCCAGATCTTCCTGAAAAAGGCCGACTAGAAGAGGCTTCCGAGGCACTCCCGGACTGCCTGACATGTCCTCGCCGCTGCCCCAGGAGGGCCTGGCGGGTCCCTACAGTGGTTCTGGTCCGGCCAACCTGGGGTCCGCCGCTGGCCCGGAGGCCCCAGGAGCTGGTGCTGCCCCAGCCCGCCGGGCCACGAGGAGGCTGGCGGCCCCACACTGTGCCTGAGGGCTGGCCCATGCCGTGCCGCCCGAACCGAACCCACCCGGAGGTGGACACGGCCGGCCTAGCCAGGCCATTTCAGAGGAGCTCTTTCTTGGGCGCTGCTGTCTCTGGCGCGAACACTGGAATGCATATACTACTTTATGTGCTGTGTTTTTTATTCTTGGATACATTTGATTTTTCACTTAAGTCCTCATATACTTCTATAAGAGCGTGACTTGTAATAAAGGGTTAATGAAGCGTGTGCCTCGACACTTGTTATAGCCCTGAGGGTCCCCGAAACCTGCAGTGGGAAGGGGATCCCCGCCTCTCCCTGGCAGGCCCGGGCCTTGGACGCTTTTCGGGGCGCCCCACGCAGCCGTGCCACCGTGGCCCCTCCGGGGGTCGGGCCCGTGCACTGTGGGCGGCCTTCGCTGGCACCTCCCGGCCTGGGCAGTGGGCGGCTGGCCCCGCCTGGGAGCTTTATCCCGGGTTCAGTTCAGTGCCTATCCTTGCCTCCCTAGGCCTCTGCCCGCCGCTCTGCGGTAGTGTGTGCTTGTGTGGGCCAGAAAGAGGGCGCCGCTCTGGCTGGGCCGGGGGCGGGCCGAGGAAGGGAAGGCAGGCCTGGAAGACGCCCGCCCGGGGCCCTTTCTCTGTCCGCGCCGGCCCCGCGGGGCCCACAGCAGACAGCACAGCCAGGGCCGGCTCCCAGGAAGTTTATTAGGGACAGGTGCGGCGGCGGGAACTCCGGGAACTCCGGAAGCTCCGACTTTCCTTCTGTGGCGGCGTTAGCCCGCCGTCCCTCAGCTCAGGCGCTCCGCAGCAGCGCCCGCAGCGGTCGGAGAAGCGCGGCCGGCAGGAAGTGGGCGAGTAGGCCGAGCGCCGCCAGCGCCAGCAGCAGCCAGAGCGCGCGCGCGCTCGCGTACAGCGGGGCCAACCTGCGGGCGGCGCTCAGCGGGAGCGGGGCCGGGGCGGTGGCTCGCCGGTAGCCACGCTCCTCCCGGGCAGCCCCCCCCAATGGCAACTGGTCCGCGGAGCCCCGCCCACGGGCTCTGCCCCAGGCCGCGCTACGGGAGCCGAGCCCCGGGCTCACCTGAGCTCCGCGGAGCGCGAGTAGCCCCAGAAGTAGCGGAGGCGCGCGAACAGGTAGACCAAGCCGCACAGGGCCGCGGCGCCTGCAAGCGGGCGGCGGGGTGAGCGCGCAGGCGCGGAAACCCGCCGGTGCGCGCCCTTCCCGCCGCAGACCTTCGTGGAAGTAGACGCCGGCCACCCACAGCGTGGCGAGGAACAGCGGAAAGTGCTCGCTGCAGTTCACCCTGCGGGCCGGGCGGACTGGTTGAGGGCTTGGGACCCACTCCCGGCCCGCCCAGCCCGCGCCCGCCCGGCCCTTGGCCTCACTGGGCTCGGTAGATGCGCTCGAACTCGGGCGGGCCGGTCGTGAGCGGTGGCGACACGCGGTGGGCCCTGCGCGCCCGGATCACTTGCAGCGAGAAGTAGGCTGTGGGGGAGTCAGGTGGGGGCGCCGCCACAGCCGCGGGTGCCCCCCCTCCCCGCAGGACGAGCCCCGCCCGTCACCGACCCGGCGAGGACGCCTGTCTGTCGGGACTTCGCTCCTGGGCCATTTGACTTGCAAAACACCGCAGATGCCCAGCTCCACCCACCTCCGCCTCTGGTCAGGCCAGGACAGCGCTTGAAGGGGCAGCTGGGGCAGCACTGGCTGTCCAGGTGCGGGCTGTGGCTAAGCCCCCGCGTCCCAGAGTGGGCCTGAAGACTTCCCGACCCGCAGACCGGGAGCCCCTGCATAGGCTCCTGTCTGTCCAGTCCTAAAGTGCCCTCTCCTCGAAGTCCACCAGGGTGCAGCCGGATCATCCACTGAACCCAGGGCCCCAGGGCAGGTGCAGAGGGTGTCCTGGTCGGGCCAGCCACACACACAGCCCCAGCTCTGTCCCCCAGGTGCCCAGGGGAAGCCCCACCCGTGGCCACAGGAGAAGGGCTAGGGCCCGGCCACCTGTGAGCTGAAGGCCAGGCCCCGGGCCCAACTGTGCCATATCCTAGCACCCCCTGGGGGCATGGTATGCCCGAGCAGCAGGGCTGGGTGCCCCACAAACATGTCCTGTAGGGCCAGTCTGAGAAGAGAATCAAGCAGGCACTGTTTTGGAGGGTAGGAGAGCAGGTTCCAACACGGTCCAGCTCCATGTGGGCCCAGTATGTAAGGTGCCTGGGAAGACAAGGAACTGGCATCTCACTTGAATGCCGATGGAGACAGCTGGAAGGGGCAGGGATTAGCTGTGCTACAGCTATGGTGGTCCCACCACTCACCAGCACCTTCCCAGCCCCACGCAGCTAGATCCCAGAGAGCCACCAGCCTGAGGCCCGAACCAAGTCCCTGGCACACCTGTCTCAGGGTCCCTCAGCATCTTCCTGCTGGTCGTCCCCTGGGTGGGGCGCCTTCTTGGACTGCGGTGCTGGCCAGTTCCCACTCCTCGACCCCAAACCAGGCCTCCAGGGCTTCCCTTCCCACCCCAGAAGGTTCCAGCCACTCGGGTGGCCCTCCACCCTGGAAGAGCTTGGCCTTGGCCCAGCCAGCCTTGCCCTCCCTGGGTCTGGGCCCACCAGCATGTCCACCCCAGGTGCCAGAAGGCAGCAGTCAGGCTGCAGGTGTCTGAGGCCCGCCCGCCCCCACTCGGGAGCCACCCCACCTTGCAGCACGACTCCCAGGAGAGTGACGGTGGCCAGGAGAGCCACCTCGTCCTTCATGGTGGTGAGGTGGCAGGGCGCTGCAGTGCTTATCAGCCCGTCCGCTGCTCAGCGCCAGCCCAGGAGAGGAACAGTGTCCTCCCCACCCCTTCTCAGTGGAGGGGCGGTGACTGTGCCCACAGAGGCAGGGAGGCTGGCCAGGCCAGGCAGGCGGAAACCAGGGCTGGGGACAGCCTGGCCACTTCCACCCAGTTCCTCCTGCCTCTTCCATGCCTAGGCCTGTGCTGGCAGAGCCCAGTCTAGCCTTGGGGATGTCCGGCTCCCCAATACCCCAGTGTCCTTAGCAGGTCCTAACTGGCCCTTCAGACCTGGCTCCAGTCCCAGGCCCCCAGTAAGCATTCTGCACACTCAACTGCTCCCTGCCCCAGCCAGGGCTCTTCAGCTCTAACCACACCCCCAGCTCCCTTTGGCCTCAGCCACACTGGGCCTAGCTGCGTCTTCTAGACAGCCTGGTGTCTGCTGGCCTGGTGCACAAGGGCCGTACTGCCTCAGGCCATGCAGGGAGCTCCTGTCCCAAGGCCTCCTGGCTAGCAAGGCTGGTCAGCCCGGGCTTGGCCATTCTGCTGGCCCACCATGCTGCTTGGTTCAGAAGTACCATCATGCCTTTCCTGAGGCCCCGGGCCTCCTCACACACAGGTGTCGCAGCAGTCTGGACAGAGCTGATTTGTGCCCCTCCCTGCCTGTGGGATGGACGTGTGGGTGGGGTGACCCCAGACTGTGAGGTACAGTGCCTGGGAAACCACGTGGAGAGCAGGGAGACTGCTGGGGCTCAGAGCCCTCTGATGCAGGCCATCTTTTCCTGGTGTGTTCCCTTGGGCCAGCCTTTTCAGTTTTGTAAAATGCTTGCTGCTTTGGGCAGAAGGTGGTTCAAGGTGGGTTTGCTTCGAGGTGGCAGAGTCCAAGCTCCGGCACAGCCACAAGGAAGCACAGGCCATGCTGTGGCTGCACCAGGTTCTGGGCTGCCATGACCCGCCCGCTCTGCCTGGTCACTGCAGGGGACCCCTCCACACACATCAGAGCTCCACTGCTGCCACCCAGCCTGCCTCTTCCTGCTGCCCCCAAGCCCGGGTTCCACAGAGGGCTGGGCACCTCACTACCTCTCCTCGCCTGTGCCTTATTACCTCATGTGCAGCCAGCATGTCCTCAGCTGGGCACCCTGCAAGCTCCCTGAGGGCTTAGGCTGGGCTTGAGACCAAGGTCTGTCAGGCGAAGTCAGGCACAATGGGAGAATGACTGGGAGAAGTGCGGCCAGGACACGCGTGACCATAAGCCCTCACATGCCCTCGTGTCTCTGGACTGTCCGCTCATCCGTGGGCCTGCGGGTGTGTCTGGGTGACTGCACAAGTTCAGCCTTCCTCTCCGCCAAGCTCGCATTTCCTCCAAGGCCTGCATGCCTTCCCATCCAAGCTCACCCTTCTGCCCAGGCAGCAGGAAACAGGCCTGACATCAGCAGCTTTGGAAGTCCCTGGGCAGCATCCCGGGCCCCTTGCTCCTTGCACCATTCACTCTGAGCTTGCCAGTCTCTTGGAGTCCTGCCGGGCTCGGGCACTTGGACAGGAGAGGCCAGCCCAAGGCCTCCAGCACTGGCCACCCGCCCTCCATGCTCCTGTGCGGCTCCAGAGGCATCGATGTGACCGAAGTGAGTCCCTGCAGGATGGGTCCTCAGTCCCTGCACGGCCCCAAAGAAGCTTCTGGATGCCACGCTCATCATAAGGGCATCCGCAATACGGAAAGGGCAGCAAAAGCATGAGCTTAAGAAGAAAAAGGGCCGGGGATTTAGCCCAGTGGTTCCTCAGCCTGCCTCGAAAGCACAAGGTCCCGAGTTGGATCCCCAGGACCAAAAGAAAAAAAAAGAAGAAATCACATTGTGGGCCTGGGGATTTAGCTCAGTGGTGCTGCGCCTGACTTACAGGCACAAGATCCTGAGTTTGATCCCCAGTCCAGAAAAAAAAAAAAGAAGTCACATCAGTGACAGGACACACCTTAGGCCCTTAGCTTTAAAATATAAATATACAGTGATGCCTCAGTTGTCAAACGGCTCCAAGCTCAAACTTGCCACTGTTCAAACAGTGAATTTCTTAAAAAATCTGCTCAGTGTCTGGAACTCTGCTCAATAGTTGAACCAAAAATCCAACTTGAAAAGGCCTGGGCCGGGAGCGAGTCTTACATCACCTCTGGCTGGGGACACGAGGATGGTGCTTGAATCGAAGGCCCCTCGCACAGACAGCATATGGTGCTTGTGTCAGTGCATTCAAATAGTGGGCTTTTTCAAACAGCTTTTTTTCATATAGCTGCTTTTTCTATGCTTTATTTGCATAAAACCTCGTAACTGTGGCTCCAAAGAAAGTGACACCAGCAGGAAGACAACCACAACAGTCAAAAAAAGAAATCACCGGAAAATTTGTTACAGTCATGGAAAAATGAATTATAAGTATAATTAATTTTTGGGTCTCAGGACCAATTATGTGGTTTTCCATTTTTTCTTATGGGGAAAAATATGTTCAGTTCTTGAACTTTTCAGTATCCAAACATGAATTTGGCAATTTTGTGCAGGGGCAGTATCACAGCCAATGAGGTTTATCCGAGGCGCGATGATTGCTAATGGAAAACTTTTCCCAAACATGAATTTGGAACAAACTGTGTTCAACAACTGAGGTATCACCGTAATGTAGTTATTTATTTTCAAATTAGTTCAGGCTTACAAGGAAGTTGAAAAATTGAGCCAGGTGTTGCAGCACACACCTGTAATCCGAGCACTTGGGAGGCTGAGGGAGGAGGATCATCACAAGTTCAAGGCCAGACTGGGCTACAGAGTGAGACCCTATCTCAAAAAAAAGGAAAAAGAAATGTGTATCTGGGCTTGGGATTTAGCTCAGTGGTTCCGCTGCCTGCCTTGAAAATGCAAGGTCCCAAGTTTGATCCCTAGTACCAAAAAAAAAAAAAAAAAAAATTTAACAAAATAAAATGTACCAATAAACACTTTAAAAAATCAATTCAGGGGCCAGGGATTTAGCTCAGTAGTTCCGACACCTGCCTCACAACACAAGGTCCCGAGTTCGATCCCCAGTACCAAACAACAAAAAAAAATCCAGTCCCCATATACCCTTCACTCAGCTTCCTGTTAAAATATTATATAATCATAACACAAATATGTAAACTGAGTGATTAATGATTAACATTGATCGAATACCACCATGCTATTTTACAGATTTTTTTTCTTTTCGTTTTTGGGACAGGGTCTCACTATGTAGCCCAGGCTGGCCTTGAACTCCTGGCGAGGCGGCTCTGCTGCGCACCCCCAGGCCTGGCCTTTGGTGTCTGGTGACCATTAGTGTTCTCTAGCACAGTGGCTCGCCCAGGCTGCACTCCGGGCGCTGACAGCACAGTGGCGGCATGGACTGTCCTGGTGACACCCAGCTGCACTTGGGCAGTCTGAAGGGAGCTTCCCACTGAATGGTCTCGGGCACTGACCAGAAGCTGGAAGTGGCAGCAGCTTACTGCGACCAAAGAGCAGACTCTCCCTGAAGCACAAGTGCAGCCAGTCTGCATGAAGAGGCCAAAGCCCGGAGGGGAGAGGTCTGCTCGGGCCAGCTGTTTTGGTGGTGCTGGGGATCGAGCCCAGAGATTTGCACATATTGGGCAAGCGCTCACCACTAGCTGCACCCCAGCCCTTTATTTTATTTTACTTGACTCTGACAGAGGTTGTTGCTCAGTTGCCCAGGCTGGGCTTCATCTTGCAGTTCTCCTGCTTCAGCCTCCTAAGTAGCTGTGAGTATGGGGTCAGATGGCCAGCTGACTGGCTCTAGTGTGACAGTCCCGCCCAACCTGGCCCTCCCCGGCCTTGGCCATCTCCTGAGGCTGGGCAGGCTCTCATGCCTTGTGGGGGCTGGCAGGTCCGGCAAGGCACAGGCCTGCCCCAGCAGCACCTGCAGGAGTCGAGTCACTCCCTGCTGGACAAAGGATGTCTTCTGCTTTGAACACAGCTTGTGGGCTGAGCATCCACCAGCTTTGCCGCCTGAGCACCCCAGCCCTGCTCCTGTCCACAGTGCTCCTTTTCCTTTGGGGGGACTTCCTTTCCTGTCCCCAGGCCTCAGTGACCCTGCGATTGCTGGTCTGTCTTCCTCTAGGACTCTGGCTAGAGGGTTCCTTTTCAGCATTCAGGCCTCAGACAGATGTCCCTTCTCAAGAGACCTGCCACCATGTCTGAAGGGCCCTGCGCTCCCTGCTTCCCTTTCTTCCTGACATCGCTGTTCTGGAATGACCCTGGCAGCTGGGTAAAAAGCGCCCTTCTTGGGGGAGCAGGGAGCGTGCCCTCCTGCTACCCTCCTGTAGCAGGTGCTGTCAGTTCTCGAGGCTGACTGGTGGCCAGCAGTGGCCGTGGTGGTGGCAGAGCTCTGGAGATGTGGAGCCATTGCCACTCCTGAGGTCTGGCTGTTCAGTTCCTTCCATGCTGGGTGTTACCTGGTAACTTCAGAAATGAGCACAGGAAGGGAACCTTTAGGGTCATATCAGCCGGATTCTTTTCAGATGGCTTGCAACATAACAACCTCAGTAAAACTGCTGCTCCAAGTTGCTCGTTTCGAAGCCTTCCTAAGTATTCAACTGCACTGTGTGGGCCGGGGTGCAGCACAGTGGCAGCGCCCTTGCCCGGGACACCTGAGGTTGAAGGTGAGGCTCCGGACCCCAGCGCCACAGTGATTGTAGTCCAGCTCCAGAGCCACAGCATCATCCCATTTCCTCCTCCCCTGACCAATCCCCCATGAGGGCTCTGGGGGTCCCTCTAATGCTTGGTGGCTATGAACAGTGTTACCATGAACACCACTGAACTATAAACTTTTTCTGGATCCAGAATTACTTTCTTTGTTTTCTTTATGAGGAAGTTTATTGATTAAAAACAGGCCTGTTCATGTGTACAGGTGTGAAAATACATTAAAATGCTGGGATACATTAAATACATATATTATAGATATAATATGCTCAAAGTACTATTATACATGCTCATAATTACCAATTTTGATTTGGCTGTACTTTCCATCATAATTTTTGAGACACTTCCCCACAAACATATTAAGACTGTAGAAAATAAAAGTCGGCAACAGACATAGATAAGAGCAATTTGGGGGTGAGAAATAAACGTCTAGGTGCAGTGTACACTTAAGTTCCAGGCTTAAAAATTGAAACAATTCTTAAAATCCCTTTTCTAAAGGCACGCTGATTACAATTTTCTTCTCCTTTTCTGGTACCAGGAATTGAACCTAGGATCTTGCACTGAGCTGAGCTCCATCCCTGGCCCTGTAAGTTTTTCTTTCTTTTTTTTTTTTTGGGGGGTACCGCGAACAAACTCGGGACCTTTGCGCTTTCCAGACTGAGCTAAATCCCCGGCCCATAAAGGCTTTTTTTGTTTTGGGGGGGTACCAGGGCTCGAACTCGGGATCCTTGCACTTGTGGGGCAGGCGCGGGCACCACTGAGCTACATCCCCAGCTTAATAGTTTCAAATATATACCCCATTTTTGATAACTATGCCTCTCAGCTTGCAATTCAACCAACACCCACCTCTGTTTTCAGAATTCTCCAAGGCGGGAGGAGCCAGACAGTCGCATCCTGTGCAGGCCCTGCCCTGGCGTCAGGTCTCGATCGGGGCCCATCTGCAAGGCAGAGTCCGTGTCAGCCACCCGCGGTAATTGAGGTTGACGTGGGGAACCCCTACGGGCTGCAAGGCAGAGCACGTGGGTCTGTGATCCAGCCTCTCCTGTGGCGGAGCACAAAATGGAGTCACCTGGCCCCGAAGAGAGGACCCCGCCTCGCGGAGCTGGGTCTCACCGGAAATCAGAGAGAGGCAATGTGCTCACCTCTTGTCATTTCCAATCTTTCACAGATTTCTCTGTCGGGATCAGCACAGATTCCGTGCGGACATCGTCAGTGTGCAGAATGGCTCACCGTGGTGGTGGGATGGTTGTCTGGTCCCTATCAGGGTCGCTGGCTCCCCGAAGACGCTCTTGGGAGTCTTGTCCAGGACCCCGCATGCTCTGCAGACGCTGCGGAAGAAACGCACCCCGCGCGGCGGGTGCAGAGGCTCAACCCCGCCGCCAGGGCAGCCGGGAGAGTGTCCCGGGAGAGTGTCGGCCCAGCCCTTCGGAATTACTTTCAAGGATGGCTTCTCAGAAGCGAGCTGCGGGGGCGAGACAGGTACCACGAACATTTTACGGAGATGGATGATTTTATTTATGAGTTATTTGGGGTGGAGGTCAGTCGGGCTGGCCTTGAACTCACCATGTAGTTCAGGCTGGCCTGGAATTTACAGTGATCTTCCTGCCTCAGCCTCCTGAGTTGCTGGGACTCCAGGCGTCCGCCACCACACCTGGCAGGAGCTTGATGGTATTTCTTACAAATCTTACCACAAAAATGAGCCCAGCAGGCTGCTTTACAAGGCGGTGACCAGTGCACAGGCCGTACATTTTCAGCCAGGACTGCACATGCGTCTTGTTTCTCCTTCCGTGTGCCCACTATGGTACATGCTTTCGTATTTGTCACAAATGTTTCCACTCTTGGTGGAATCTAGTTTTTTTCTTCAGTACTGGGACTGAACTCGGCCTTCACATGGAGCTGCATTCCCATGCCTCTTTAATTTTTGTAGTTTGACAGAGGATCTTGCTAAGTCACTAAGTTGTTCAGCCTGGGTTCAAATTTGTGATCCTTCTGCCTCAGCCTCTGGAACAATAGGTATGAGCCTCCATGCCCAGCATGATCTATCTAGCTTTTCCTTTATTTATTTTGCAGTTCTGGGGATAAGTTGCTAAATTGCCTAGGATGGGCTCAAACTTGTGATCCTTCTGCTTCAGCAGCCCAGAATGGTGGGATTACAGGCAGAGGCACAGAAATGCTTTTTTTTTTTTTTTTTCTTGGTACCGGGGATTGAACTCACAACCTTGTATTTATGAGGCAGGCGCGGTGCCACTGAGCTAAATCCCGGGCCCAAGGAAGTGCTTCTTTCTGCCCCTCCCTGAATGCCCCACCATCCTCTCAGGAGCACAGGCTGCTTCCAGCTCACAGTAAAGCAGCAGGGAAGAGGGGAGAAAGCCACAGCACCTCCTGATGGACCAACCCCATGGCCTGCTGCCCTTCCACGCTGGCGGCAGGGGTGGACAGCAGAGCGCACGGTCCTTGGAGTGAAAGGGGAAAGTCAGACCCTACCCTGAAGGGGGACTAAGTAGTCAGAAGCATTGCAAGGGTACAGCTAAGTTTTAAAGAAACAAACCACTCAGGACCTAGAACACTGTTACCCAGTCCACTGCCTCTCAGGTCAGACACCAGGCCCCCACAAGTCCCGGAGAGGAGCGGCTCTGACACCCCCAAGCACATGGGCTCTAATTTGGTATCTGTCATCCTGCAACTGGAGTCAGCCTGAGGCCTTCACCAACCCGGGCCCCAAACTATGTACAGTAAGAAAGCTAACTTCAATCCCAAAGGAAATCAACGATGAACTTCCCCTGCTAGCCTGCCCTACTGCAAGTCAAATACACAGGCAGTTTCCATACTAGCAAAATACTTTTATTATTTTTATAATGATAAAACAAGGAAAGTAAAGACTTCTTTTTGGTGTATACCAGAGTTAAGGGAAGTGGAAGAATAAAGGGATTAATAGGATTTTTATGTACGTCTGATGACCATAAAAAGTTAACAATACTAAATGTTTGCCATAAAACTTATCAATAGCTCTCGAAAATGATATATAAAGGATCATAGTTTTAAAATCTATAAAAGTAAAAAATATACAGTTGGAAGCTCTAACGCTTATTCCATCTTCAATATAAAATTGTAAACATTTATTTACACAAAGCACGTGTGTATAACAAAGTCCAAGCACCCTTTTCTTCTGAGTTGTGGCTCGAGGAAGATGGGGATGTACATGGAAGCAGTCATCTCCTCCCCTGACTCCCCAAAGCCAGATTCATACATATGGCCACGGGTAGCTCCCTAGAGGACCCCAAGAATCACATTTTATTGCTATGACACTGCAGCAAGTGAGAAGCGCACTGTTTGGGTGGCCAGCCGGGACTAAGGCAGACAGCAGGGCTGGCAAGCGCCCCGGGGGAGAGGCAGGAGGTGGCTGGGGAGACAGGAGAGGACCAAGGAGCCAGAGCCAGCTTTCCTCCCTGTTTTTGGTAGAAAAACCGCTAAAGTCACCCTTGTCCCCAAGCTTGGGGAACTTGCTAGAGGGCAGAGTCTTCAATGGCTTTCTGATTCATACTCCCCTTTGAAAGCTAAACTGAGGATCTGGGGACGGCAGTGAGGGTGGTTAAAGGGGAAATGGCCTACGTGCCACCAGCGGTGGCCAATGGCTATGAGACAAATCTGAGGGTCCAAGTAACCCCGGCAAAAAAGGCACTGCTGGTGCAAACATTACCAAAGTGACTCAGGCTGGTCACGGATTTCCCTTGGCTCAATTCTTGACATGATGTTACATGAATGGTCCATTTTTGAGACTCCAGGGAAACAGATGGGGTCACGGTTTTTCTCCACAGACTGCTCCACATCAGCCATTCTCCAGTGGACTCCTGTCCCCCACCATCCTGAGTGCATGAAGGGTTTCATCCTGCGCTCCCCATCTTGCTTTCCAATGGGCAAGTGCTGAATCTTGTTTTCCACAAGCAGCCCACGCTGTGTACCCTATTCTGTGGGCTCTCAGCTCAGTGAAGCTCACTAACAGACCTTCAAAGAGAATCCACTGGAATCTTTAGAAAGGATGTGTTAGTGTTATAAAGCAATCTTTAAAAGTGCAAGTCATCTGCTGTGGACGTGGCAGAAGTCAGGGAACAGAGTGGGATTCCTTCCCCTGGGCCGGCCTGCAGCCTCGTTCCCCAAACCTTTACAATGCTCAAGTTCCCCAAGGAATTGTAGTAACTCTTTTCACCCTCCAATGTAGGACATCACTGTTTCCCACTGGGGCTGGAGAGGAAGAAAGGGAGGCAGACAGGGAAAGGAAGACGGGGCTGAAGAAAGATTCATGTGCACAACTTAAGGCCCTGCCTGTTAAACACAAGCTGTCAGAAACTGCAGAAGGTGGGGAGTCGTAACACATGACAACACCAGACCCCCGGATCTCTACCTGCAGCCTGGGATCCTGGGGTGTTCAAGACAGAGTGACAGCTGAGGACACCACTCAGGAAGAAGAGGAGGAGCTGCTGGGATGGCCTTGTCTGGGTCACAGCTTCCTGTCCCCTTTGGCATCTGCAGTTATAGCCTGCGGTGACGGAAATGACTTTCCAGCCACCCTCCTCCCCCAGAGCCAACAGAGAGCGGGAATACAAAGGCTCTTCATCAGAAGGAAACCCTGGGTTTCCAATGCCACTTTAAACCATCACCTATGCTAATCTTAAAATTAAAAAAAAAAAAACAAAAAACTTTTCTATGCTACAAATTACAAACAATTTGCTATTTAAAGTTTCAAAAACCTGTCCCCAACACTGAGCCAAGTGGAGAAATCCTGGAGTCAGCATGATGGGACAGATGTTTATGGCCTGACATGGGTTTCACGGTTGCTATTGTTGGGGTTTTGGTCATTTCGGTAGGAGACCACCTTTAGAACCCTGTTCTGCTGTGCAAACACTAGGCAGTGATGCCAGCACACGGACCAGGCCTGCCCAATGGACCAACCCTGCTGGCTGGGAGCCCCCAGATCAGGACTGGCGGGCCTCAGCTGCAGCCTGGGTTCTGCCTGCCCAGCTGCCTGGCCCATGGGATTTTGGTCCCAAGTAGTTGCTCGTTCTTGAATCTGAGAACAAAAACAAGAGGATGTCTGAATACTAAACCACCATGAATCCTCCATTACTGAGACCCTAAAAAGTTGTCCAACTCGTTTATCCACTCCTCTGAAGTCCTGTTCTTCAGCAGGGAGTCGATCAGGTCAGTGTGTCCAGCCACACCGGACAGCCCGCTGCTGCCTGGCTGCCCACTGTAGAAGGGCAGCTCCTGGGCCACAGTTCGAACAGGGTAGGCCTGGGTGCAGTGCAGTCCCGCGCGGCTGCCCATCTGTGAGGCGGGGCTTTGGCTGAAGGGCCCCAGCTCTGGCCCTGCAGGGCTCAGGCCGGGCAAGCCTGGCTGCGGGGCTGTCTGGGGAGGCGCAGGGGCAGGGGCGCTGGTCCTCTGCTGCGTGCTCACCGGGGGCAGCATGGACCCTGCCGCAGCAGCTGAGCTCATGGGGGCCAGAGGCCTGCTGGGCATTGCCGGGGAGAACGGAGGACTGGACATCTTCAGATGGGCCTGCTGAATGTGGAAAGTGGAGGCGGCAGTGAAGGGGCTCACACTGCTGCTCCCTGGGGTCTGGCTGCTCAGGTTCGGCATTCCCTGATGTTGCCACGAGGCATTCTGGCCTCCGATGGCTGCTGACACCCTTGGGATGGGAGGCTTGGTTAAGCCAGAGGTCAGAGTCCCCTTGTTGTGCTGCTGAGAGAGGCCAGCGCTTCCCAGAGAGTTCTGTCCATAGGCAGCTGGAACTGCGGCAGTCTGGCCCGCACTGGTCTGCCGGGAAATGTGGGCGTGTCCGTTGGCAGCTTGTGGTGGGGGCTGGGCAACCATCTGGGTCATGCCAGATGCCATGCCATACAGACTGCTCTGAGGCATGCTCTGGGAGCCGGGGAACTGGGCCACACCTCGGTCCTGCGGGCCTGAGTTTGAGGGGATCGAGGAAACCGAGGTGTGTCCAGGACCCATTGGCATCAGATTCCCAGGCTGAGGGAACACTCGAGGACAGCTGGAGTTGGATGAACCCAGGTTGTTCATGCCAGACACGGCAGATACGGATCCTAGAAGACAGAAGATCTGTCAATCAAGTTGCCACTTCTTGACTGCCACTCGGAGACACCTGAGACCCACACGGGAGCCCCTCTCCTATGGCCAGGAAGGTAGCATCTTAACCTCAGATGGCGCACGAGCAGAGGCACTGTTCAGAAGAGAACCCAGGGGGTCAAGGGCACACAGTCTCCCACAGGGTAGACAAGGCCAGGTCTAGGACAATGGCAGGGTTCAGAAAGACACAGAGGAAAGGTGTGAAGTCCTAGGGAGGGAAAGCCAGTTGATCTGTCTGTTTGCCTTTCACACATCCTCCCAAGTTCTGCTCTGTGCCCTGGGAGTTTCATGATGATCCGCCCCAGCATCTGCCTTTGGGAGGTACGGCCACCACAGTGTGACAGGTCACACCCTGAGTGAGCATCGGGCTGCAGGGCCCTGAGGGTTTGGTGCCCGGGAATATTTGGGGAAGTCGACAAACACTGGGTTTAAAAGTATACAAGCCAGGGATTTAGCTCAGTGGTGCTGCGCCTGCCTCACAAGTGCAAGGTTCCAAGTTCAATCCCAGGTAACAGAACAAAAATAAATAAAAGTACACAAGCCGAGCAACTTGGAGAAGAGCATCCCACACAGAGAAAAGAGGGCAAACAAGCACACTGCTATGAAAGGCAGCCTGTGGGGCTTGAAGAGGCTGGCTGGGGACAGTGCACGGCCGGCAGAGGTGAGAGGGGAGTCCGGGCCAGACTGCAGAGCAGAGGCTGTCCCTGCTGGGGAGGGCTGCGCAGAGACGTTGCACTGCCCCGCTGTGTATGCCCCAAAGCAACAGGTGTCAAGGCACCCACTCCGCGGCAGGTGCTGTGCTGGGGAGACAGCAGGGGAGGCCCTTGTTCTCGGGGAACTTGCTCACCAGGGCTTCTGGGCTAAGCAAGGGACCCAGGGTGACACCATTAACCAAGATGGGCTTTCTGGGCAGGACAGTCACAGTTCATGAGTCAGCCAAGACTTGGTATGTTGTCTTTTCTCTTCCTCTCCACTAGCACTCATATAAGAGTGGGCTGAGAAACTGGGTGTGGTGGCCTGTAATCCCAGCACTCTGGAGGCTGAGGCAGGAGAATCGCTTCAAGTTTGAGGCCAGCCTGGGCTACATGAGAACTTGTCTGAAAACAAAACAAAACAACCCCAACCCTCCCCCAGCAAAAAAAGAAAGGTTCTTTTGCGGTGGAGATTTAGCTCATTGGTTCTGCCACCTACCTTGCAAGTGGAAGGTCCCAAGTTCGATCCCTGGTACCAACCCCCCCCCCCCCAAAAAAAGAAAGGTTCTTTTATTTTGTACTGTTTGTTATTTATTCATTTATTTAGAGCCAAGGTCTCACTATGTAGTTCAGGCTGTCCTGGAACTCCAGGTGATCCTCCTGCCTCAGCCTCCCAAGTGCTGGGATTATAGTCCTGTGCCACCATACCTGGCTTATTTAGTTAAGAGTCTTCCTGTGTTTCCAAGGCTGGCCCCAAATTCCTAGGCCTCAGCCTCTGGTACCTAGGATTATAGGTGTGTACCACTGCACTGGCTGAGAGGCTTTTGTTTTTTACCCTTTGGTACTGGGTACAGGGCCTTCATACTGAGTAACATCCCCAGCCCTTTTAAAATTTTGAGACAGGGTCTCACTAAGTTGCCCAGGCTGGGCTCAAACTTGCAGTCCTCCTGCCTCAGCCTCCTAGAGTGCTGGGATTAGAGGTGTGCGCCAACACACCCAGTTAAGAGGGTTTCTTTCTGAAGAGTCACAAAAAGACGAACCAAAGAACTTTAAGAATTATAGAAGCCATTTCCTAATAGGAGATCCTTCAATCAGAGATTATAAATTACTTTGCTTCAAAAAACGGGACAGCCAGGGACACAGGCAAAGCAATGGTAACAGTGTGCCTGTGACCTGCAGCGTGAGCACAGAGCCAGTTCCTCCCACAGACCAAGGCCGTTCGCAGCTCACAGATCCATTCTGTACCCAGCACAGAGTCGCAGGGAACAGAACCCCAGCAGCACTGGGCTCGACCAGCACCGGCCCTGCCCCGCTCCCCTCACCTGTGAACTGTCCGACCTGTGGTGGGAAGGTGCTTTGTGTTGGGTCCTGGTACTGGGGGGGCGGGCGGGTCAGATGGCGCTGATATTGCTGCTTCTCCTAGAGGATGCCAAGAAGAACAAAACAGTCAATCACATGAGACATTAAACGAACGCAGACCAGCAGTGACGGCAGAAGAAAAGCAGTGTCCAAGCTTGGTACCCACAGAGAACTCTTACAGGAACAGTGCTGGCGATTATTTGGGGGGTTTTAACAAATAGTATGAGGCAGGGATATAGCTCAGCGACACAGCTGCCTGGCAAACACAAGCTCCTGAGTGCAATCCCCGGTTCCACAAAAAATAATCAGTGTGAAACAGGGATAGGGGAACTCTAAGGAGCAGTGAATGAAAAAAAAAGAAGGGCTGGGGACTTAGCTCAGTGGTTCTACCACCTGCCTCACAAGCGCAAGGTCCTGAGTTTGAGCCCCGGTGCCAAAATAAAACAAAGGGAGGTGTATTAGTTTCTTAAATGGGAAGGCAGCCAGGCATGGTGGTGATGGTTGTAGTTCCAGCACTAGGGGAGGCTGAGGCAAGAAGACAGCAAGTTATAGCCCAGCTTGGGCAAACGAGCAACTTAGTGAGCAACCCTGCCTTAAATAGATAAATAGATAGACAGACAGACAGACAGACACATAGGTGGGGATGTAACTCAGTGTGAGGAAAACTCAAAACAGGAAAAGGGGGCCGGGGATTTAGCTCAGTGGTTCCGGCACCTGCCTCGCAAGCGCAAGGTCCCGAGTTCGATCTCTGGTACCAAAAAAAAAAAAAAAAAACAGGAAAAGGGCCAATAACAAGTATTATGTAAACAAGTTCAATGTTTTGAGCTCTGCAGTTCTTACTAGTTTGTATATGTAAACCTCATGAGAGTCTAATGGTGTAATTTCTTTTTTTGTTTTTTTTGAGACAGAGTCCCCACTATGTAGCTCAGGCTGACCTTGAACTCATGGTACTCCTCCTGGCTCAGCCTCCCAATTACTGCAAAAATAAAAAATGGCAAATCAAAGCCACAGTGAGATACTACTTCACTCACTAGGATGGCTGGAATAAAAAAGGCAAGGATGTAGCTTATAGTAGAGTACTTGGCTAGCATGTCTACGGCTCTGGGTTTGATTCTCAGCATTGCAAAAGAAAAAAAAGTAAAAAATAAGCAGCATTGGTGAGGATATAGAGGGAAATCAATACTTTCATAGTCTGCTGGTGGGAATGTAAAATGGCACAGCTGCTGTGGAAACAGTCTAAAAGTTCCTCAAGATTAGATATAAAAATTACCATACGACTCAGCAATTCCACTCCTAGGTATATTACTCAAGCAAACTGAAAACACAAACTTTTCTAAGGATTTTCATAGATCTGATATTTGGCAAATGTTTGTATTTTACATTTTTTTTTTAAGAGTAGGAAAATTTATTGGGGAAAAATAATGAAAAGGAATGAGAAATAGGAATGGGGAATAGGACTAGCTTCTGGGAGACAGGAGGGGTCCCGAATGGGTTGCCCTATATTTTACATTCTTAGAGAAAAATGTCATTTCATTTAAAAATAACTTATAGAACCAAAATATAAAAACTTTTAAAAATCTGAAAGTAAAGAGAAAGGACAACATATGTCCACATAAAAACTTGTACATGGATATTCACAGCAGCATGATGCGTAACAATCCAAAAGCAGAAGTAACGCCCATGTTCATGCACAGACAGGCATATCTACACAACGGAATATGGTGCAGCTCTGAAGGGGTTGCTAATACACAGTACATGGATGGGTCTTAAACACCTCTATGAAATCCCTAGAATGGGCAAACTGACAGAAGTAGCAAGTAAATTAGAGGCTGCCTAGGGCCGAGGAGGTGGGAGACAGGATGACCACTCATAGGTACAGGGTGTTGGGGTGACAAAAATGTTCTCAATGATGGCTGCACAACTCTGATATGTGAAAAATCAGTGAACTGTACAGTTTAAATGGGCAAACTGTTATATGAAGAATATTCCAAAACAAGGAGTTATTTTTTAAAAACAGATTCAAGTGCCAGGGATGTGGCTCAGTGGCACTGTGCCTGCCTCCCAAATGCAAGGTCCTGAGTTTGATCCTGGTACCAAAAAAAAAAAAAAAAAAAGATTCAGGCATAGTGGCAAACACTTGTAATCCCAGCCACTTAGGTAAAGCAGGAGGATCACAAGTTCGAAGCTAGCCTGGGAAACTTAGACCGTATCAAAATAAAATTAAGAAAAAGAGTAAGGGGCCAGGGATGTAGCTCAGTGGCGCTGCGCATACCTTGCAAGCACAAGGTCCTGAGTTTGATCCCCAGTACTGCAACAAAAAAACAAACAAACAAAAAAAAGAAAAAGTCAGAAGCCCTGTGTGGTGCCACACGCCTGTAAGCCCATCTCTCAGAAGGCTGAAGCAGGAGGACTGCAGTGAGTTCAAGCCCAGGCTGAATTACACAGTGAGACCCTGTTTCAAAAAAAAGAAAAAAGGATCAGGGGCCGGGGATTTAGCTCAGTGGTTTCACCGCTTGCCGTGCATGCGCAAGGACTGGAGTTCGATCCCCAGTACCAAAAAAAAAGGATCAAAGATGTAACTCAGTGCAAGGCTCTGGGTTGTGGCAGGGGTGGGGACTGAACCCAGGGCCTTCGAACAGAGCCACATCTCCAGTAACAGCAGGAAAAGGGGCCACAGCACTCCCACTCTGGGCATGCGACACAGCAGTGGAAATCTGCAAAGGCACAAGCAGCACCTGCACAGCCTCCTACCAGCTTCCCCTCACCTGTTCTGCCAGAAGATGCTGCTGCTGCCTCTGCAAGAACTGCTGTTGCTGCTGCTGCTGCTGTAAATGCTTCTGCTGCTGCTCCCTCTGTTTCTGCTGGTCTAAAAGCAGCTGGTGCTGCTTCATGACAGCTGCCTGCTGCTGACTGCTGAGATATGGGGCGCTGCTGTGTGTGGTGGCCACGGACACAGCAGGTGACTGGGTCCCAACACTGGTGGCCTGGGCAGGCACAGGGACACTGGAAGGACTCTGCTCCTGTCAACAGATGAAGGGCACTGGAGTCGGGTGGGGTGAAGCTACACACAGAGAAAATGTGATCCAGGGTCTCTGAGCTGGGCTTAGCTTCCCTGCCCACCTCCAGCAGGCTGGGTGGAGACAGAGCCCACGATGCCTGAGCACCACGGGACTCACCCCAGCTCTGCTCCCTTAAGATTCACCAGTGGCTACCATAATATTTCAACATCACTGCTTATACTCAGAAAAGAGGAACTCAAAACAGGAAAAGGGCCAATAACAAGTATTATGTAAACAAGGTCAACGTTTTAAGCTCTTCAGTTCTTACTAGTTTGTATATGTAAACCTCATGAGAGTCTAATGGTGTAATTTTTTTTTTGTTTTTTTTTGAGACAGAGTCCCACTACGCAGTTCAGGCTGACCTTGAGCTCATGGTACTCCTGCCTCATCCTCCTGAGTGCTAGGACTACAGGGGGGTGCTACCACACCCAGACTGTTTTGACTTTTGAGATGGGGTCTCACTATGTTGCCCAGGCTGACCTTGAACCCAAGATCCTCCTGCTTCAGCCTCTTAAATAAGTGTGATTACAGCCATATACCAACTGTACCCAGTACAGGGGACTCTGAGCACAGATCTGTAAGGTGGCAAAAAAGCAAAGCTTCTAAAAAAATACATTAAATGTGCTCATTTAATAAAACACGGGCACAAATGACTTAATTTAAATTGTGTGGCATGAAAGAGATACTAGATTAAATGCAGGTGATTCCTCTAATGTTTGTGTAGTTAAAATCAACTTGTAGCTGGGGATTTAGCTCAGTGCCACCATGCCTGCCTTGCAAGCCAAGGTTCTTAGTTTGATCCCTGGTACCAGAAAAAGAAAGATCAACTTGTACTGGACAATTATACCTTTCTTTCATTCTTTCATTCATTCATTCATTCATTCATTCATTCGGTACCGGGGATTGAACTTGGGTCCTTGTGCTTGCGGGGCAGGCAGCGGAACCACTGAGCTAAATCCCTGGCCCTATAACTTACTTTTATTAAAAATCAACTTGGGTTTATTTTTATGTTCTCACTCCCAAAGGAATGGAAGGGTGATGGTAGGTACATCCTCCTCCCTCTACTCCACAACTACCTTGGCCCAACTTCCGGTTTAGCAAGAAACCTTCCCAGTGTCTGCAGCAGAGTGATGCAGAATGAACTGCATGCTTACCTGGCCAGGTGGAACCAGTGATCGGAAGGGCATATTTCCTGGCTTTGGTTTCATTAGAAACAAGGGATTTTGCTCATTATTCAGATGAGGCAGCTGCTGGGGGAGATAGGCCATCAGGGCTGGCTTGCTCTGGCCAGACCCGGGGCCACCTTGCCCGCAGTCTGCTTTGTAATGGGAAAGGGGTTTCGTGTTGCCATAGTCCAGCACCGATCCTTGGTTATTCACAGAGTTCTGACTCAAGTTACCCTGTGGCTGGTGACTCAGCAGTGACACATGGCCCGGCTGGAGGAAGGGGGCTCCGGGCCGAGGGGAGCTCTTGTTCACACCAGGCATCATAAGCAGCTGGGAGCTGGGGAAGTCCTGCTTGTAGCCAGCAGGGCTAGCAGGCTTCTCTATGGGATAAGGGACATCTAAGGGGCTGTGGGAGGGCCCCGTCTGCTGCCAGGAGGACATCTGGCCTGGGGCGGGGGCTGGGACGGCCTGCGGTGGGTTCTGGAGCATCTGCTCACGCTTCTGCTTGGCGGCAATCTGCTGGAGCTGGTGGGCAGAGGACAGCTCGGGGGCGCCCCCCGGGCCCTGGCCAGGCAGCACAACGCCTGTGAGGGCCCTCTGCGCACTCTGGGCCTGGGCTGACGCTGGCATCAGGCTGGCACTAGGGTTGTCCGTGCGCACAGGTGCGGAGGAAGGCCCTGGGAAGCTCTGCCCTGCAGGCCCGGCCCCCACTTGTGGAGAGCCTAACTGTTCCTGCTCAAAGGCTGCTGGAGAGAATTCCGTCTTAATATTAATGTCTTGGGACAAGGGGGTTTGTGTGGCAGAACCAGAAGGCTCTGGGTCCTTTTTCTCCTCAAAGTCCTCAGTGAACAGGTCCTTCATGTCTTCGTCAGGCACCGACCTGTTCAGCTCCTCGATGAGCTCCTTCCACTCCTGCTCGTTGAGGTTGAGATCGGGCATGAGGTTGCTCTGTGAGATGGATCCTCCAGCCCCGGTGATCATGCATGGAAGGTCATCAACAGGCTCCTGCTTCAGCTCCTTACTCAGGCTCAGAGGAAAGGACTCCCCAGTGTTGCTGCCTCCGTTCAAGTGGAGGCTTGGGTCAGCCAGACACTTTTTGTTGATGGACTCTAGCCCCAGGGAGTGCTTCCCACCGGACTGCAAGGCCTCTCCCGCCGAAGGCTTGTCAGGCTGACCCAGGGGTGAGGATGGAGGCAGCCCGTTGGCAGACAGGGCCACACCCAGCAGGGCCTCCCGGCGGGTCTTCTTATGCCCAGGAAAGAGGTCTCCATAGCCATTCTGTTGCTCGCCATTCTGAGGGGAGGCAGTGCTGTCAAGATTCCTTTTCACTGTGTCATGAAGATGCTGAAAAACATTGAAAAAAAAGAGTTGGGTACATAATATCACATCTGAGGTTTCCTCTGCTTCCAACAGTCACATGAACCAGGGTCTGGCATCCTCACGCTCTCTGGGGTTCCACACTTCTGGGAGCACACCTCCACTTCCCCTAGTAGGACTGCCCCACCCCCAGGTCTGAGTCTGGTTGGTCAAAATCCACCGTCAAGCTCCACTGGGGAAAATGTGTCAGACCCTGGACTTCTACAGCCCTCTTTTCTTTTTGGTACCGGGGATCAAACTCAGGTCCTTTTGCAAAGCCCTTTTTTGTATGATACAAGCCTGATGCTACCTGGCATCTAGCTGGAGGGTTTATCCAGGAGTGGAGCTAAGGAAGAGCCTGAGGAAACATCGAAATTCTTGGGGACATTATTAGAATTCTGGACCATACCTGAGATCAGTCACCTGCCTTGACTTGCCACTTACATGAATCAATAAATAACTCTGTTGAAGCTGGCTTAACATGGATTCTGTTCCTTTCAACTGAAGAAGCTCTGCCTAGTGCAGCCTCTAGGAACTAGATTGTTTCTTACGGCTGGGGATTTAGCTCAGTGGCACCACACCTGCCTCAAAAGGGCAAGGTCCTGAGTTCAATCCCCAATACCAAAAAAAGAAAAAGAAATGGGGAAATGGATTGGTTCTTCACTTGTCACACAGCCTTCTGCCTTTCGGCTTCTATCCCAGTCTCCTCCCCTTCAACGCCTAAGCATCTTCTAATCCAGTTCGTGAACACCACCCTCACGACCCTCTCCCCGGCCCTTCACTGGAACACAATCATGTCTGCCCTGGCACTGTTATTCTCTGCTTCACCATTTTTAACTAACCTCATTAGGAGTCTACGTGTGCCAGGGACAAGACCATGGAGAACATAAAGACAAATAAGGTGGACCCTTCTCTTCATGGGCCTCTACCTCCCCAAAGATTGGGCAAATCTGAATATGGCTACAGAATAAGGCAAATGCCCTATGCAAGCAGTACAGCAGTGAGCACCTTGAGCATTCAGTTGCAGGTGTTTCATGATGAGAACATGACAGTGGGTTGGGAGGAGACAAGGTGGTACCCTCCTGCTTCCCTATCCTCATCTTCAACTGCCAGAGTGTGATCGTCCACGGACAGAGGAGGTGCCTGCAGTCAGCCTCTAAACCTACATTTACTTTTATTACATTTTGTTTTCATCCTCCACCTACAATACCACTCCCCCCCTCACTAACCCTGAGCATCTATGGTCATTAAACTGTTCCCAACCACAGCCCTAACTATTATCTCTGAACAGGTTTTAGGAGTCACAGGGAGCAGCATGCTGGGCTATTTCCTCCACTGCAGAGCAGTGCTCTGATTCGGGTGTCCTGTCTGAGGCAACTCTGTCGGCATCAGCTCTCTGCAGGAGACAACCTGTTAGATGCCAAGTTTCTCAATATCTAAGCCCCTACTTTTTGTTGTTGTTGTTGTTGTTTTCAAACAGGGTCTCCCTTTGTAGTTCAAGCTAGCCCTGAACTACTATGTACCCCAGGCTGGCCTAGAGCTCCCTGTGATCAGCATGCGCCACCATGCCTGGCTCTAAGCCCAATTCTTTTTTATTTTTTTTTGGTACCGGGGATTGAACTCGGGTCCTTGCGCTTGCGCAGCAGGCAGCAAAACCACTAAGCTAAATCCCCGGCCCTCTAAGCCCAATTCTAAAGCTACCATATTTCCCCCCATGACATCAAAATTTTGCCTCTTTTTATTTTGTGATACTGGGGACTGAACCCAGTATCACTAGGCACGCATTTCACCACCCAGCTACATCTCCAGATCATATTTTTTTGGTAAGAGACTCCTGCTGAGTTGCCTGGGCCGGCCTCAAACTTTTTTGGGGGTGGGGGTCCTGGGGATCAAACTCAGGACCTTGCGCATTCAAGGGAGGCAGGCGGAAGAACCACTGAGCTAAATCCCAGCCCTGGCCTTGAACTTTCGATCCTTTTGCCTCTCAGCTCCTGGGCGCTGGAATTACAGGCGAGCACCACCAGGCCTGGTTTTAAGATTTTTTTTCTTAGAACTAGGGCTAGTGGTCCCATTTGACCCAGCTATTCCCCTGCTGGATATCTTCCCCAAAGAATTAAAAGAATACCATAGTGATATATGCACACCCATTTTATAGCGGCACAGTTTGTAACAGCTAAAGCTTGGAAACAGCCCAAGTGCCCATCAACTGGAAACTGGATAAAGAAGATGTGGGGTTTTTTTTATAAAATGGAGTACTATTCAGCCATAAAGAACGAGAAACTAGAGTCATTTACAGCTAAATGGATGCATATCGAGGCCATCCTCTTAAGTGAAATAAATAGGACACACATGTGTACATACCGAAGAGTTTCTCTGGTGTGAGAAACTGAAAGTATAAATAAGGATTAAAAAGAATAACTGATAACTTGAAATAGGAAGAAAAGGTACAAAGGGGCAGGGGAAGGGGAAAGGAAAGAAGGGAAATGAAAAATTATGAGAAAAGAAAAAAATGGAAACAAAGTCTATGTGAATAGGGAAGGGCGCAGAGGTAATGGGGAAATAACAAGAACCAAGGCCCGGGGATTTAGCTCGGTGGTGCTGTCGCCTGCCTTGCAAGCGCAAGGACCCGAGTTTGATCCCCAGTACCAAAAAAGAACCAAGATACATGATGTGCAGGTACAAGCACCCAATGATAAATGTAAATGTATTAAATAGCTAAAAGGTACCAATGAAAGAATTTAAGCAAAAAAAAGATTTTCTTAACTGTTAAAGTTAACTGCACAGTGCGCTATAAATCCCAGCTGAGAATTTAAATCCATATGTGGGTAATTAAGAAAAACACCCTTGGGAATGCTGGAGAAACAGAACTGCAGGGCAGAGGTAGAACACAACCCTCGGACCCAGTTTAAGAGCAGGGCCTCCGTGCAGGACAGCTGTTCTTGCTTTCCGATGAGCACTCCTGCTTGCTACTGCCACCTAGGGGTGGGCAGGCAGACGAGGACCACACTTGTAAAATGGACTCTATAAAGCCGACCGTTTGGGAAGTTAGATTCATCCCCATTTAACTGGTCAGAGGAAATAAAAATGAGTTGCTAATATTTATTTCTGCCTTTTCTAATTTTCTTTTGTTCCACAGAACCATGGCCCGGCTGTTCTGGAAACCCAGGAGCTAAGTTTCCATCTTCCTAGGAGGGACGATGGAAACCTAGGGGTCAGGGCACTTGATGAGTCAGCTGGCCATCCCAGATTAGAAACAGACTCCCTCTCTGCCCCAACGATTATAAAAGCCGCCACACCCTCTTTCAATAGCCACATGCAAACAGCTGCAGACAAGTCCCAAAGACGACTCAATTTTGCAATAGCACTTCTTTTTAGCCAAAGGAAATATTGGGGCGTTTTCTCAACTACTCACAAAATTCAATGGGAATGGATGGGGGGTGTGGACTGCGGCGGCCCTGGCAGATTTGGGTACCTCGGGCTATGTAGGGGAAGCACAGATGAGCCAGCCTTGGAGCTAGGCCCAAGCATTTACAACAGGGTGGAAAAATAGCCCGAACAAGTTAAAAGTTACGTAAGAGCAAACAGCAGGTGTTCAGGTGGCACAAAACCGGCTGCCACCTATGAACACAGGGGCCTGCTTCATCTGGTGCTCAGCTCAAGAGATTCCTGTTCCAAGTACCGAACTATCTCAGTCAGGGTCCAGGAGGACCCAGTTCTGGGAAACAACGCCGTCTGTGCTCGCGGCCTGCTGGAGAACAGTGTGTGTTCTGGGCTGGCAAGCCACAAAGCACCCTGCAGGCTGGGCCAGCTCACAAGGAAGCCTTGGTCTTCCGCGACAGGGTCAGGCTCCCCGAAAGAGAGGGGGTGCAGGGCATCCACGTGGTTCCGACCGGAGCTGGAGTGTCCTGTCGGCTGCCCACCTTGCAGACCGTAAGTCAGCCAGCATCCTGTCTCTGCCCCACGAACCTCAGGGAGGATCCCTTGCTTGGTCTCAACTTCCTCCTCCTCTAACCACCCACCACCGCTCCCGGTGTGCTTTGTGCTCCATCTCATGGAAAAAATGACAACGCCTCCAGGCTTCCACGGAGTGACAGCTGTGGCTGCTAGGTCAGGAGGGGTTCTCTTATCAGTACTCCCTACACCAGGGCCAGCGGGGGCGCAGGGCTTCCTGCCCCTCCCTCTCCTTTCACCCAGCTGTCACCCAAACCACCCAGCACCTCAGGCCTCCGCACCCCCCACCCCCACGGGAACGGATGGGATGTGGGGAGAAGGCAGGGGTTAGGAGTCTCCAGGAGGTCAGCAGTGACTACGGCTGTTAAATGCAGGCCACACTTCAGCGCCCCTCCCTGCCTTCCAAGCCCCCCCCCACGCAGCGATCCCGTTAGCTGCCTCTTCACACTCCCTTTCCACACTGACTCGTCTTCTTTTCCACCTCTCTGGCTCCTCCTTTCTCCTGCCCTCCAATGAAGGGCCCTTCTGCACCCTCTCCCCGGATGCCCTCACCCATCGCCGTCCTCCCGACCCCAGGCCCGAGCCCCACTCAGAGCCAGCCCCAGTGTGCAGGCACCGCCCTCCCATCTCCACTCACACCCACTGGCCTCCCTTGCTCCGCGACCAGCCGGCTGCTCCCTGCGCTGCTCTTCTTCCTTTCGCCTAGAACCCTTCTCCCCTGGACCCTTCCAGGTGCCTCACCTGCAGTCCAGGTCTGTTATCGCCTCAGTCCTCCCCGCACACCTGCTCCTCCCCACAGCCACACTCCATTCCTCCAAAGACAGGAAAGACAGCACCTCAGCGCGCTCGAGGGTGCGGCTCCAAGCCCCGCCTCCTGCTCTGCACCACCCACCCGCACGCCTGCACCCGGCGGCACGCAGGCAGCTCAGAAGAGGGCGCGCAGAACCCCGCCCGGTCTTCGCCCCTTCCTTTGACTTGCCCCTGTCTCAGAGCATGCCACTAGTACAGGAGCCAGGCCAGACACCAGGGCCCCTCTC